ATCCCAAGGCACTCCACTTTTCATTATCAGGCTCCACTTAGGAAACTCCTCAGCTTCCATTTCTGAAGCACCGCTATTACTTGATCTGTCAGTGGATGCTGTTGGCAGGGAGCGTTCACAGCTGTGCATTGTGCTTGGAAATGCAGGCTACTGAAGCAACGCTCTTATTGTGAGAGAATATGGCTTAAAATAATGGATCGCTGCCTTGTCAATCAGGAGTGAGCATTTTTACTTACAGTGTCTTCATTCCATGTAGCATATCAAAGAAACAACATTCTGGCAGTGTGAGGGTGGGAAATGTGGGGGTGTGGTGTACAGCTTACCCAGTCTCAACAAATCCACTCTTGACTCCAGTTATCAGGTTGGGTCTGCCCAGTGGAGATCTCTACACAACAATCCCTGGGTGGTGGAGAGGACCATACAACGCAGGACATTATAAAGAGGACAGAATGTGCAAAAACAATGACTGGGTGCCATATTCCATTTGCTCTCTGGCTTTAGACACAACAAACTCCAGGATCAGCCATCCTTTCCAGTTTTCTCAATATCGAAGGAACTGGTGATGGTTCTTAACCAATGTGCCTGGAACAGGGAATCTCAAAGTCTAATTCCTGCAGGGGCTACATAAATGGACAAAATGGTGAGTGGCTGGAGGGAGAACTCAAACACACTGAGAGGGGCAGTCTCCACGCAGCTCCAGCCAATGCCTGTCATGTGGGAGAGTGAGGTCCTTTGCTGCCACTCCTGAGTGAAGCCAGAGATCTCTTCATTTCTCTCTCTCTTTTTTTTGTTTAATGAGAGATCTTCTGATTTGTGAATGTTGGGCAACCAAGTCGAATTTGTTCAAGCCAAATGAAACATGTCTACAGGCTAGATTCCACCCAAGGTCAACCAGTTTTTTGTCTCTGTTCTTGAGAAACAGTTCAGGTCCAGTAGGATTCTTCTGTAGGTTCTGGGAAGCTTTCATCTTGTCCCACATCATCTGGCTCCACACTGATCTGATCTAATCCAGGAAATTAATTTCTTGATTCAGAACCCAACAGAGAGCTAGTTGTCATTAGCAACGTAATTCAAAGAGCTGCCTCTAAGGATCATGTTCGTATTGACTGATCTCCAATCTCTGCTCCAATCTGGCTGCTGTGGTCTGCCTGTTTTTCCTGTCAACACTTAAATTGGGACTCTTTGTCTTTTGCCCAGTGGTGGCTGGGCTCTTTTGGTGAGCTCCAAGACAAACCAAAAAACAAACAAACCAACAAACCCGTTGCCATCATGTTGATTCCAATTCATGGTAACCCCATGTGTTACAGAGAAGATCTGTGCTCCATAGGGTTTCCTCGGCTGCAATCTTTCTGGAAGCAGATCTCCAGGACTTTCTTCCATGGTGCCGCTGGGTGTGTTTGCACCACCAACCTTTAGGTTAGTAGCCCAGTGCAAACTGTTTGTGCCACCCAGGGACCTTGGGCTCCAAGACAGGGCATGCTAACTCTCTCGGAGGCAAGAGTCACTCCTGCCTGTAGCCCAAGCTAACAGTGAACCCCCTTGAACCACTCCACAGCCATTTCCTGTGTGACAGCATTCAACATCCCCCTCCGGGAAACTAGCTAGTGGGAATTATTATTTAGAAACTTGATGTATAGTCGCTCGTGTTGTTGTTGTTGTTAGGTGCCGTGGAGTCAGTTCCAACTCATAGTGAACCGTGTACAACAGAACGAAACACTGCCTAGTCCTGCACCATCCTCACGGTTGTTGCTGTTTGAGACCATTGTTGCAGCCACTGTGTCAATCCATCTTGTTGAGGGTCTTCCTCTTTTTCACTGACCCTCTACTTTACCAAGGATGATGTCCTTCTCCAGGGACTGATCCCTCCTGATAACATGTCCAAAGTATGTGAGACAAAGTCTTGCCATCCTTGCTTCTAAGGAGCATTCTAGCTGTACTTCTTCCAAGACAGATATCTTCCATTTTGTGATATAATGTAACCACCTCCATGATGTGATCTGATGCGATCAGCCAATCAGTTGTAAGGGGAGTTTCCTCAGGGGTGTGGCCTGCATCTGATATATATGGATGTTCTGGCAAAGCTTGCTGGCTTCTTGTCACTCTGGATCCTGCATCCGGCTCATCATCATCTGACCTCCCATTCTTGGGACTTGAACCAGTGGACTGCCATACTGCTTGCTGATTTTGGTATTCATTGGCCTCCTCAGACCACGAGCCAGCAGTCTGCCATCTGACCTGCTGATCTTGGGTTCGTCAGCCCCGGCAGCTACGTGAGTCAGGGGAAGCCTCCAGCCTGACACCTGACCCACAGACTTGGGACCTGCCAGCCTCTACAACCAAGTGAGCCATTTCCTTGAGATAAATCTCTCTCTGTCTCTTTCTCTTTATACATACATACATACATGCATACATACACATACATACATAATACACACACACACACACACACACACATTTCATTGATTTTGCTTCTCTAGAGAACTCAGCCGAAGACAGGAACCTTGGAGGATGTCTTAGCTTCTCAACGCTGCTGTAACAGAAATACCACAAGTGGGTGGCTTTAAAGAACAGAAACTGATTTTCTCACAGTTCTGGAGGCGAGAACTCTGAATTTAGGGCACCAGCTCTAGGGGAGGGCTGGCTCTCTGTCAGCACTGGGGGAAGGTCCTGGTCTCAGCTTCCGTAGTCCAGCATTACTGGGTTCGTTGGCAATCCCCGCGTGACATCTGTCTTGCCCAGTTTACGTTCTCTTCTGTGTCTAATCTGCTCTTTTTATAACTCAGAGGTGGTTAGGGTTCAGACACCCCCAACACTGATATGGTCTCACTGACATAACAAAGAAAACTCTATTCCCAAATGAGGTCACATCCACAGGTATAGGGGTCAGGACTTGGGCTCATATTTTGGGGGCACGATTCAGCCTGGAACAGAGGGATCCCACCTGGGTTGCAGTCCACCACCGCGTGTCTCAAGCTCTAGGGCTGTGCCCGGCACACTACCGGAAATGTGCAGGCAATTCGCTCTTTTTCTTCCTCTTGCATATACCAGTGGATGTCCTTAAACAATCTCCTCTCTTAATTAGCTGAACACTTTCCTTTTGGTATCCTTCACACTTGCCTTAGATTTTTATTTCTGCGCACTGATACCGAATATTTTAACTCATAAATCAATCCCAGATCAATCAGCGTTCAGATTAAAGTAGGAAAGTGCCCTTCGTCCAACGCAGCCACCCTGGTGCCAGCTGTCTGCCCTGCTCTGAGCGGCCAGGCAAGCTTGGGGACTCAGCACGTTGCAGGCAAATGCCCTCCTGCCCCCGGCTCTGAACTAGTTTTAGCCACTCAGGGTGACCAGAGGAACATGTTCTCGCTCAAGGAGGGTGGTGCAATTACTCATGGCCTAATTTTCCTCCTTTTGCTAAAGAAACGGAAATGGAAGCCAACACGAGATGTTCCACGAAACAAAGGAAAAGCCACATGGGTTTGTTTGTCTTTGTCACCAGGGCTAATTTCCCTTAATTCAAACGCTACTGCATGAAAGGATGGGTGGAAAGAGCCTGGCCAGCCCCAGCGTGGATTCATCCCTGCGCCCCACACGCACTGGGCGGTGGTGGAAAGGGAGTCTCCAGCTGGTGCAAACCATTAAGGGCTCGGCTGCTAACTGGAAGTTTGATGGTTGAGTCTACCCAGAGGCACCTCGGAAGAAAGGCCTGGTGATCTACTGAAAAATCAGCCACTGAAAACCCCATGCAGTGCAGTTCTACTCTGACACACACGGGGTCGCCAGGAGTCGGGGTTGACTTTATAGCAGTGTGTTTTGATGGAAATAGCACAGGTTTGGATTCCTACTCCCGGGCCTGCCATTTGCTAACGGTAGACTCAGACGAACCTCTTGCCCATCGTGAGGCTCTTAGTCTGTGAATGAGCCTCCTGGGGCAGCCACACAAAGCACCACAAACTGTCTGGCTTCAAACAACACAAACTTATTCTCTCACAGCTCTGGTGGCTGGAAGTCTAGATCCAGGGTGTGGGCAGGGCCGTGCTCTCTCCGAAGGCTCTAGGAGAGGCTCCTTCCTGTCTTTTCCAGCTTCTGTGGCCCCAGGAGTTCCTTGGTTTGTAAATGCACTTCCCCATGTATCTTCTTCTTTATAAGGACACCACTCAGGTGAGATTGTTGTTGTTGTGGCCATTAGGTCTACTGCTACCCTGCAGGACTCAGTAGGACAGAATAGAACTGCCCCATAGGGTTTCCTAGGTTGTAACCTTTAGGCGAGCAGATCACCAGGTCTTTTCTCCTGCGGAGCCACTGGTGGGTTTGAGCACTTAACCACTGCACCACCAGGGCTCCTTAAGATGCGAGTAGGGCCCACCTTGCTCTGGTATAAGGAGCCCTGCTGGCGCAGTGGTTAAACACTCCGCTGCCAACCAAATGGTAGGTGGCTTGACCCCACCAGCTGCTCCATGGGACAAAGATGTGGCAGTCTGCTCCTGTAAAGATAACGTCTTTGGAGACCCGATGGGGCAGTTGCACCTTGTCCTATAGAGCCGTGAGAGTCAGCATCAACTCAGCAGCCGTGGGTTGGGTTAACCTAGGTGTTAACCTAACTGATAACATCTTCGAAGACCCTAGTTCCAAATGAGGTCACACTCACAGGTACCAGGGTTAGGACTTCAACACATCTCCTGGAGGTGGGCACAAATCACCCCATCACAGTGTCACAGCGTAACCATTAGCCCAAGCCCTTCCCCAAGATGGAGCCATGTGTAACTAGAAGTCTGAACGCCCTGCTGTTCCTGTGCGGGCAGCATCCAGAAAGTGGGCCCAGCTCTGGAGCAGGCGGCGGCCCACTTCACCTAGAGCCAGGCCCATGCCCTCCCTCCCGGCGAGCGCATCCGGGGCCCCTGAGCGCGAGCAGCGTGGCCACGCCCAGCACAGTGCCCATCTTGCAGACACAACCAGTGACTTTGCCATGTCTTCTCAGCCTCCAGGCCCCACGGAGCAGGATGGAGAACACGCCCCTCGTAGCTGACTACGGCTCGGGCGTCAGCAAGGTGGGCTTTTCCGGAATGGAAGCCCCCCTGGTGGTGTTCCCAACCATCCTTGGGAAACGGCGGCATGATGTGAGTGATGGGGGCCCCTTCCAGGTGCAGTTCAGCCCAGAGGCAGCCGGAGGGCTCGGACAGCCCCACCCCTCTCCACAGGGCTCCCCAAGTCAGACCCTTAGAGTGGGGGTCTCCCGAGCTGACCATGCATTAGAACATGGGCGCACTTGGTAAAATGCAGATGGCCAGGCCACAGCCCCATTTCCGCTTCAGTGGGTCTGGGGTGGGGCCCGGCAATGTGCATTTCTAACGGCTTCCTGGGTGACGCTGAGGCTGTAGGCCAGAACGCACTCTGAGAACTGCCGACTAAGACAGGGGTCCTGGGGGGGGGGGCCTGTGGTGAAGGCACTGGGCTGCTCACTGCAAGGGTGGAGGTTCGAGTCCACTCAGAGGCCCCTCGGAAGAAAGGCCTGGCGATCTACGTCCAAAAAACCAGCCATTGAAAACCCCGTGGAGCTCAGTTCAACTCTGACACACACTGGAGTGCTGTGAGCCGGAACTGACTTTGGAGGCCTTGGGCGAAGTAGGCCCCTTACATAGACAAGAGGTGTGAGCCAGGTGTGAAGAGTAAATCACGCAGAGAACACACTCTGTATGATTGCACTGACGTGACGTGCCCTGAACAGGCAAAGCCACGGAGACAGAAAGTACATTGGTTCCTAGGGGCTGAGGGAGGCAGGAATGGGGAGTACCTCATGGGTGTGGGGTTTCTTTTTTGGGGGGGTGGCCTTGTTCTGGAATCCGATGGTGGTGATGGTTGCACAATCTTGTGGCTATACGAAAAGCCACTGAATTTTACACTTTGAAAGGGTGAATTTTGTGATATATCGATTATATCGCAATAAAATGCAGAGAGGAATAATTTTTTTTTATTGTGCCTTAAGTGAAATTTTACAGAGCAAATTAGTTTCTCATTAAACAATTAACACCCAGATTGTTTTGTGACATTGGTTGCCAACCTGGTGATATGTCAACACTCTCCCCTTCTCCACCGCGGGTTCTGTTTCCATTTGCCCAGTTTTCCTGTCCCTTGCTATATTCTTCTTTGCTTTGGGGCTGGTGTGCCCATTAGTCTTGTATACATGATTGAACTATCAAGCATGTTCCTCACCTGTGTGATTGTTTGCCCTATAGACCTGTCTAATCTTTGGTTGAAGGGTGAACCTCAGGAGTGACTTCAGTACTGAGTTAAAAAGGTATCTGGGGCAGGGATTGGCCTGGACTGTGGGACATAAAGTGATACTTGTGAAGAATGTGCCTCTTAGTCAAGTAGATCCAAGAGACCAAAGGGGCAGCTTCTGTCCAGAGGTGAGATGGGAAGGCAGAGACAGTTAGCAGCTGGCTGAATGTTCACGGGGAATCAGGGGCGGAGAGGAGGAGTGTGCTGTCCGGAATGGGGTGAGCGGTTGGGGTCTCCTAACAATGTATGTAAAAAAAAAAAGAATATAACTTTATTCATTTAAGAATGAATGGAAATATAAGAGGCAGAGGGATCTAGGAAATAGCTATGTATCAAAAGACCAAAGAACCCAGATGACCACATTTTCTAAACCAAAAATCAAGACTCTGCTTTCTCCAAGCAGATACAATTTGGAGATGTTGTTCAGACAGCACAATACTGAAATTTCCAGGATGTTTCCATGGTTTCAAAGGACAGTGATTAAAAAAACAAAAAAACAAGAGAAATCTGCTCCGGAGGGAGGGAGCTACGTGACCCTCTATAATTCATCTCACTTTTCTAGCTCTCAGCATCCTTATGCTCTATTAGGAGGTTATTTTTTTCTCTGTATTATCTGGAGCCCCTGGAAGAGTGCCTGGCACATAATAGGTGTTAAATGAACATTTCCTGAATAAACTGATGAATATATAAATAAAATAAAGCTTGTCATTGTTGTTGTTGTGAGGTGCTGTTGAGTTGATTTCAACTCGTAGCAACCCCATGCACAACAGAATGAAACCCTGCCCAGTCCTGCGCCATCCTCACAATTGTTGCTATGCTCGAGCCCATTGTTGCAGCCACTGTGTCTGTCCATCTTGTTGAAGGTCTTCTTCTTTTTCACTGACACTCTGCCAAGCATGATGTCCTTCTCCAGGGACTGGTCTCTCCTGATAACATGTCCAAAGTATGGGACATTAAAGTCTCACCATCCTCGCTTCTAAAAAAAAACGGTGTCTGGGGGCCATACTCTCGGGGTTTCTCCAGTCTGTGTCAGACCAACAAGTCTGGTCTTTTTTGTGTGTGAATTTGAATTTTGTTCTACATTTTTCTCCAGCTCTGTCCAGGACCCTCTAGTGTGATCCCTGTCAGAGCAGTCAGTGGTGGTAGTCGGGCACCATCTAGTTCTTCTGGGCTCAGTCTGGTGGAGGTTGTGGTAATTGTGGTCCATTAGTCCTTTGGACTAATCTTTCCCTTGTGTCTTTGGTTTTCTTCATTCCCCTTTGCTCCAGCCAGGATGGGACCAGTCTATGGATCTTAGATGGCCACTCAAAGACTTTCAAGACCCCGGATGCTACTCACCACACTCAGGTGTAGAACATTTTCTTTATAAACTGTTAGGCCAGTTGAGCTGGATGTCCCCCCAAAACCGTGGGCCCCATCCCTCAGTCTCCCTCAGGGAGTTTGGACACGTCTGTGGAGCGTCTTGACCTTGCCCTGGTCAAGGTGTGCTGACTTCCCCAGTATTGTGTACTGTCTTAGCCTTCACCAAAGTTGCCACTTCTCTACTACCTAGTTAGTGTTTTCCCTCCGCAGGACTGATTTTCAGGTAAATTGATAATCATGCTTCGAAAAAAGGGGAGGGGATACAACCGCAACGCCGGTGGTCCTGAAAACCCCGATGCTGTGGGAAAGGAGTGAGTCATAGAAGATCACGTTTGCTGGATGCCACCATGTGACGTGTCCAGAACAGGCGACTCCATAAGGACAGGAAGTGGATGAGTGGTCGCTTAGGGCTGGGGAGGTTGGGGGAAAGCGGGGAGTGACTGCTAACGGGTATGGGGTTTTCTGAGGGGAAAAATATTCTAAAATGGGTGGTGCAATGGTTGCACAACTCTGTGAATATACTGTTTCTGTCGCTCTTAGTTGCCGTCGAGTCGATTCCGATTCATGGCGACCCTATGTGTGCAGAGTAGAACTGCTCCGTAGGGTGTTCAAAGCTGTGACCTTATGGAAGCAGATCACCAGGTCTGCCTCCTGGGGTGCGTCTGGGTGAATTTGAACCACAAATCTTTCAGCTGGTAGTCAAGTGCTTAACCACTGTGCCACCTAGAGACTAACAAACACTGAGTTGTATTTTAAATAGGTGAATCATACAGTATGTAACTTATAGTGCAATAAAAGTGTTTTAAAAAGAGAGAGAAAAAAAGTAAATCCTGTTCCCTTGTAACCTCAAGCACAATTACTGTTGGCCCGTGTCATAAACCAGAAGTGATTGGGCAGAACACAGATACTGACCTTCAATAGCCCATCTTATAGCTGTAAGGAATGACAAAGGTCCTACACAATGATAGATAGATAGATGGACAGACAGATAGGTAGGTAGGCAGATAAATAGATGATAGATACATAGATAGGTAGATAAGTAGACAGATAGATGATTAAAACCAAAACCAGGTCCATTGCTGTCGAGTAGATTCCGACTCACACTGACCCTACAGGACAGAGTAGAGCTGCCCCATAGGGTTTCCAAGACTGTAAATCTTTATGGAAGTAGACTGTCACATCTTTCTCCCAGAGCGGCTGGTGGGTCTGAAACGCCGGCCTTTCGGTTAACAGCTGAGCACTTAACCACTGTGCTACCAGGGCTTCTCAGATAGATGATAGATAGATAGATAGATAGGTAGATTAGATAGATAGACAGATAGACAGATAGACAGAGAGATAGATAAGATAGATTAAGTAGGGAGGGAGGTGGTGGTTGGTAGGTAGGTATGTAGGTAGGTAAGTGGTGTCAGTTCAACTCCAACTCAAGGCAACCCCAGGTACAACAGAATGAAACATTGCCTGCTCCTGCGTCATCCTCACAATTGCCAGCATGTTTGAGTCCATCATTTCGGCCGTTATGCCAATCCAGCTCACCAAGGGTCTCCCTCACTGTCACTCACCCTCCACTTCACCACACATGATGTCCTCCTCCAGCGAGTGATCCCTCCTGATGACATGACCAAAGCAAGCGAGTTGGACAATGTCCTGTTGTGATCTATAGCATTTCCACTGGCTGATTTTTGGAAGTACATCGCCCGACCTTTCTTTCTAGTCTGTCTTATTCTAGAAGCTCTGCTGAGACCTGTCCACCATGGGTGACCCTGTTGGTGTTCAAAATCCTGGTGGCACAGCTCCCAGCATCACAGCAACACGCCTGCCACCACAGTAGGACAAACTGACAGGGGGTGGTGGACACGCCTAGAGAACGTTTGTTATAAAAGCTGCCATGTACTTGTATGACCTCAAAACGATGAAAAATGAAACTGTCAGCTCCTGGCTTCTGTTTCTCTCAGAAATCAGAACGCCCTCTCCCTGCGTGCAATACGCACATGCGCTACGGCTCTCATGTCTTGTTTAGGGAAGCTGGAGACGCTAGCCAAAGGGTGGTCTTACAAATAATACCCACTGCTTCTCTGCATACACGATATCAGAAATATTGAAGAGTTTAAAATAAGGGACTCATTTGAGCCAAAACTGGGGGAAAAAACACTGTAAAAAGAAAGACACAAAAAATGGATACACCACAGGACTGAACAACACAGAGTGAACCCTCATGTGAACCAGGACTTCAGTTAATAACAATGTATCAGTATGGATTTGTGAATCGTAACAATGTACCACACCAGTGCCAGATGTTAATAGTAGGAGAAACTGTGTGTGAGGGAGGGTTTGTGGGAGTTCTTTGTACTCCTGTCCTCATAATTTTTCTGTTAACCTAAAACTGTTCTAAAAAATAAAATTTATTTTAAAAAATATAGAGTAAAAAAAAGATGCATATTGTAATAGGCTCCTAACACTTTTCGTGGAATAAATCGTACCTTTATGAAGTGGCAAAGAAATCAGTAAGACATGTTTCTTGTCTGCTTACCACTTTTAAGAACAGTGTGGATGCTGAGAAGTAGATGTCCAGTGCAGTTAGTCCAAGGGCAAGTCCAGTGAAAAATGGGACACAGTATGGCAGGGTGAGGCCTGGGGCACATGCCCTGCTCAAGAGGGCAGCCTCTGCTTCCTACAGCTGACTTACCCGCAAGCGGGCCCAACGTTGCCAGATTGTCCTGCTTTTCAGGATAATTGAGAATTCATGTTTTTAAATATTAGCTCACATTTTACAAACCCTCCTGCAGGCCAGATGGTCCAACTCCTCCACTGTGCCTACCCTTGGGGAGAGGAGATGAGGGCTCAATCCAACGGTACCTGCCTGCATGTCTTCTGCAAGCCACTCGTCTACTTTCTTCATGAGGGCCTGGAACGTTCCACAGTCTCTTCCAATAGAAGCAGGTGGGAGGCCCTTAGCTCCGCGTTCATGTAATAATCATAGCTTTCTGGGCTAGCATGATGAACCAGCAACCCTATCGGGCACGTCCTGTGGTACTCCTACTCCTCGAAGGTGAACTGGCCACGTCGAGAGGTAACATATCAGCATCCACGTGGAGTGACGGTCAACGCGAGATTGCTGAGGTCTGCCTGAGTTCGGAGCCCACGCTCTGAATCTCGATGCTCCTCCTTGGGGAGTTTTATTTATCCATGATGAAGAGCATGGCGCATGGATACGCCAAACCGTCGCGGTCTCCTGGCGCTCAGCCCATGCTTTGGAGCGCATGCAGCAAATTAGTGAGCGAACAAGTTAGCAAACTTTCTACTTGCGCAGTTCAGGTTTAAACTGGCATTTGTACCTGTGGCATGCTGGGAGGAGGAATCGGAAAATTCCTGCCTCCCCCCAACAAGTGCACACGAATCTTTGGGAGGTAGTTGAATTTGAATTCATAAATTTTTTTTATGTCAAGCAAATATATAGAAACCAAAGATTCTTAGTGGTTGCGGGGCATGGGGGGCAGGGGGAGATTTTGCTTGGGGGTCTTTGAGCTTACTGGTGGTGGAATATGACTCTGAAAAGGACCGCGAGAGTGATTACACAACCTGAAGGACGTAATCAATGTCACTGAAGAATCGTACATATACAAATTGTTTAAAAACTTTTTATGTCATAAAGTATTCTTCTTTTGATATTTTTGCAGCTATTTAAAACCGTACAAGTCATTTTTGGTTCGCTGGCCGTGCAGAAGGAGCTGGTGGGCCCGATGTAGTGTGCAGGCCGGAGTTTGCGGTTTCCTGCTCTGCGAGGCTGCGGTTCACGAGGACCCCGAGCCCCTCGGGAGTCCCACTGCAAAGCCCTCGCCTGTGAATCTTACAAATCTCCTAGCCTCTTGCTTTAAGCACGAATACAAGGCATGCTTTCTTGGGGGAAAACATGGCCCGTTTCAACATCAGCACATGAAGTAGGGCTCTTCCTGGGAGGTCAGCGACTCCTGCGTTCGGTGGCTCCTCGCCGCCTTCTCCAGCGGCTCACATGGAGCAGCCTGCCCTGCAGATCTGGGCCGGGTAGGAGGCCAGGCCTGAGGGCTGAGAGGAGGCGGACTAGACGGGAGGGTCCAAACACACCCACGGGAACCAGTTTGGTCTATTACCAGTTTCACTTGAAATGGAACCATTGGTTTCCCAGAAGAAAACCAAACCCCTTGCTGTTGAGTTGATCACGACTCATAGTGACCCTATAGGACAGGGCAGAACTGCCCTACGGGGTTTCCATGTCTGTAATCTTTACAGAAGCAGACTGCCACATCTTGCTCCCGTGGAGCTGCTGATGGGTTCGAACCGCCGACCTTTCGGTTAGCAGCTGAGTGCTTTAACCACTGTGCCACCAGGGCCCCTCTTTCCCCAGAAGAACTGCTGCTGGCTTCCAGTCCCCTGGCGGCCCAGAGTCTGGGAGCAGCGGGAGTGCAAGAGGACTTGGAGGGAACCTCAGTCAGCACCATCCCCCGCAGAGCCGGGAAGGCCCTTCCCAGGAGCCGCTTGGCCTCTCTCCAGAGCTCCCCAGCCCAGCTGCGTGGAGTTGACTCCGACTGTGGTGGCCCTGCGTGTGTCAGAGTAGCACGAATTCCTGCATCATTCAGTCCAATCCTGGTGTCTGCTTCCACATTCCTGCACTAACACACGGGCCATCTGATACACCCCCTCTGAAGGGCGGCATGAAGAGCTGAATGTGCCCTGAAAGTAGCTAGACACATCTTCCTAAAAACCCACAGAAACGAAACCTAACAGCAGACCTTTCCCCACCAAACTTCCAAAGCAAATGGAGAACACTATTCCTCGTCTCCTTGCTGTCCTTCATCAAACAGTTCCTTTCTCCCCACCGTCCTTCCTCCAACAGCCTCTCCGTCTCCTCCTCCACCATGCGGGCAAGATGTGGGTCAAGGAGTGATTCCTCAGGGCACCTTTGACCTGTAGGTAATTTGCTAAGGAAGGTCCTGAGCAGCACGAAAGGTTTGCACTCGTCTACTAACCTAAAGGTTGGCAACTTGAACCCACTCAGTGGCACCATGGATGAAAGGCCTGGTGATCTGCTTCTGTAAAGATTACAGCCTAGAAAACCCCATGGGGCAGTTCTACTCGGTCACACACAGGACTGACATGAGTCTGAATCGACTTGACAGCAACTAAGAACAATTTGCTAAGACGTATTAGTGACCGAAAAAGAACTGATGCCTTTGGATTATGGCATTGGCACAGAATATTGAATATACCATGGACTGCCAGAACAAACAAATCTGTCTTGGAAGAGGTACAGCCAGAATGCTCCTTAGAAGTGAGGATGGGAGACTTCGTCTACTTTGGACATGTTATTAGGAGGGACCATGCTTGATAAAGTAGAGCTAAAAAGAGGAAGACCCTTGATGAGATGGATTGACACAGTGGCTGCAACAGTGGGCTCAGACATAACGATTGTGAGGATGTCACAAGACTGGGCACTGATTTGCTCTGTTGTACGTAGGGTCTCTGTGATTCAGAATTGACTTGATGGCACCTAACAACAGCAACATCAGTGACCATAAGGAGTCCTGGTGGTGCGGTGGTTAAGCGCTTGGCTGCCGAATGAAAGACCGGTGCTTTGAACCCACCAGTCACTCCACAGGAGAAAGATGTGGCAGTTTGCTCCCGTAAAAATTACAGCCTTGGACACCCTATGGGGCAGTTGTACTGTGTTCTCTGGGGCTGCGATGAGTTAGGATCGAACTCGGCAGCCACTGGACGTCAGTGGCCATTGGCGAAATAGTGTAAAGGGTCTGAGAAGGTCATAGATGCCGTTGCTGTCACTCGACACTTCCCCTATGGCCCATGGCTGCCCTCCAACCCCATCTCATCATGCGCTGACAAATGAAGACCAAGTCGAAGTGAGTCCAGGCTTCCCCCACCAGCCACTTCTAGGAGCTGATAGGGCCTGTCCGGCCTGTGTTTTCCAGAGTTTGCTGATAGGAATGGAAGAGAAAGATTGGTTCATCGGGGCTGAAGTGCTGACTAACCGAGGGAAGCTCAACCTGCTAAACCCCATCTCCCGGGCAACTGTTACTAGCTGGGACAACATGGAAAAGGTAAGCTGCAGCTTCTGTGGGGATGGGGACTGTCTGCAGGGCCGGGTGGCATTCCTGCTGTCTTGGTACCCAGGAAAGGAGCTACAGCCGGGCATCGAGGGTTGTCCCAGCATCTCTTAGCTCTCAGTCCCCGTAGACATTGTATCACGGTGCTAACCTTATAGATTCTGGAATTGGAAGACCTGGGTTTGAATCCTGTCTCCAGTGCTTATTAGCGATGTCATTTGGGCAAGTAACTAGGCTCCTTTGACCCCAATTTCCTCATCTGTAAGATGGGGTTATAATTGTTCGTACCACATAGGACTATTCTGAGGATTAAAGGGGCTGGTGGATTAAAGGCCTAACGTAGAATGGATGTCATTTTTTGTCATTAGCTGCAGTCAAGTTGGCCCCAACTCACGGGACCTTATGTACAACATAACAAAACTTCACCAGCTCCTGTTCCATCTTCATGATCATTGAGATGTTTGAATCCAGTGTTCTGGCTATTGTGCCAATCCGTCTCCATGAGGGTTTCCCTCATTTTCGTTGGCCTTCTACTTTACCAACCATGATGTCGTTTCCTAGCCATTGGTCTCTCCTAATGATGTGTCCAAAGTATGAAAGCTGAAGTCTCACCACCCTCACTTGTAATGGACATTCTGGTTGTATTCATAATAATTTTTACCAGTTGCTGTCAAGTTGATTCTGACTCACAGCGACCCCATGTGAGTCAGAGTAGAAGTGTTCTCTGCAGGCTTTTCAAGGCTGTGACCTTTCAGAAGCAGATTGTCAGGGCTTTTTTCCGAGGCACCTTTGGGTGGATTTGAACCACCAACCTTTCAGTTAGTAGTCAAGTGCATAACCATTTTCGCCACCCAGGGTCTGGGTGCATAGTAATAACCCTGGTTTATTGAGCTCCTACTATGTGTCAAGCACTGTACTAGGCTTTTTACACAGGTCATGTTACTTAATCGTCATCATTCTCTATGAGGCAGGGAATATTTTCTATATGAAAGATGAGGTGACAGATTGATAAAGGTAAACTCATTTGCACAGGGTCACACACCTGCAGAGTGGCAGCACTAGGACTAATGCTGAGTCTGGAAACCCATACTCTTTCATGTGACACACTGCCTGGCCTCTCCACGTTGGGGCTCACCTCCCTGCACATGGGTGTCCATACCTGTCTCCCAGGCTGACCACGGAGCATGGAGGACAAGGACCATGACATTCATGTCTCTGTCTGCCCCAATTCCTAACTCAAGGCCTGGCATATGAATGCAGGTGATAGATCTTGTCCAAGGTCACACTCGATCTTTCCTGCTGGTTCATAAGCTCCGGATGGCCTAACTGAATCAGCAACCGCTTATGTTACTTAAAATACTGTTTTGCCACGTGGACAGTTCCTGGCCCATTTATTAGAAGACGTGCTGCTGCTTGAGGAGGAAGTGAACTGTGTCAAACCCTCTCTCCTCAGATTTGGCATCACAGCTTCTACCAGATGCTCCGTGTTGCCCCAGAGCAGCACCCTCTGATGCTGACAGAACCACCTTTAAGCCCAAGGTCCTACGAAGAGAAAGTGTCACAGGTAACGGGGCCAGGTTGTGAGGAGGGGGTTCAGGGAGCAGGCAACAGGGGGCTCAGCTCTTGACCCCTCCTTAGCCTCTGGGTTCGCCTCAGGGCGTCACCTTCTCCTTGTTCGGCAAATAAGGTGGGAAAACGTCTTCTTTGATATTAATATCAAGAACGAGAGGTACTGTGGTTAATGGTGATGGAAAAATCACAATGATTAAGGGTAAGGTTGCACAGCTGATTGCTATCGGTAAGTTGTACACCTGTAAAAAGTTGAATTGGCAGAAGTTGTCTGACAGACATATTTGTGACAATGACAAAAAGAAAAAGCAGCTGCTGAGGCTACTTATGTACAATCTAACATCTCATGGGATTTGGTTCCTTGGTTTGGAGGCTCAGGGTCATGATTTCATGGGACGTTCTGGTTAATTGGCCTAATGGTGTTGAGTGCTTCTGTTCTACCTCCTAGTTTGTTGCATGGTGCCTGGGGTCTTAAAAGCTTGCAAGTGGCCATTCAAGGCACAACAATTGGTCTTCATTCACCTGGAGCAACAGAGGAAGAAGGAGAGTCAGGAATAGGAGGATATGGAACATGTGGCTAGTTGCCTCCATGAACAAGTGCCTCTGTTGTCATGAGACCAGAAGAACAGAATGGTGCCCGACTACCATTACTGAACACTTTGATCAAAGATTCTACAGAATAATCCTAATCAAAGGAGGAAAATGCAGAACAGAATTTCAAATTCTCGTGGACTGCAGACTTTCTGGAGCCATGGGGGCTGAATGAACCCCTGAAACTATTGCCAGAAGAACTGGATGGTACCCAGTTGCCCTGAGATAATCTTTAAACCTTAAACCAAAAATATTCCCTGAAGTCTTCTTTTTTAAAAAAAAAAATTTTTCCTCGTGCTTTAGGTGAAAGTTTAACAGAGCGAATTAGTTCCCGTTCACTAGTTTGTACATAAAATGTTCCATGACACGGGTTGCATTCCTCGACTGTGTCAGCACTCTCCCTATCTCCACCCTGGGTTTCCCGTTTCCTTTCTTTAAAGCTGATTTTGTCAGAGATGAATATTGCCACTCCTGCTCTTTTTTGATTGTTGTTTGCTTGATATATTTTTTTCCATCCTTCGTGTTTTAATGTGTTTGTGTCTTTAAGTCTAAAGTGTGTCTCTTGTATGCAGCATACAGACAGATAGTGGTTTTTTAATCCATTCTGCCACTCTCTGTCTCATTATTGGTGCATTCAGTCTATTTACCTTCAGCGTAGTTATTGATAGGTATGAGTTCAGTGCTGTCATTTTAACGTCTTTTTGGTGTGTTGTCAACAATGTCTTTGTTCCACTTAATTTTCTGTGCTGAGTCATTTTTCTTCATGTATTTTCTTTTCATCTTTTTTGTTGTGGTTGATTTTGTATTTGCTGAGTCTTTATGTTTTCTCTCGTTTTTTATGTTGATATGTAGGACTGTTAGTTACTTTTGTGGTTACCTTAATATTTACCCCTGTTTTTCTAAGTTTAAACCAGTCTTTTATTTCTTTACATTGCCTTGACTTCCTCTCCATATGAAAAATCTGTGTCTACATTTTTTAGTCCCTCTTTTTTGTTTTAATGTTGTCCTCTTTTACATACTGACATCTCTGTTTCCCTATTTTCAGCGTTTTAGCTTTGATTTACTTTTGCAACTTCCCTATTTGGGTTGATAGCTAGTTGCTCTGTCTTGTGTTCTAGTCTTGGGTTGTTATCTGATGTTCTTAATTTTCTAACCAGAGGACTCCCTTTAGTATTTTTTGTAATTTTGATTTGTTTTTTGCCAATTCCTTAAACTTCTGTTTATTTGGGAATGCCCTAATTTCGCCATATTTTGAGAGACAATTTGGCTGGACATATAATTCTTGGCTGGCAATTTTTTTCCTTCAAGGCTTTATATGTCATCCCATTGTCTTCTTGCCTGAATGGTTTGTGCTGAGTAGTCCAAGCTTAGTCTTATTGACTCTCCTTTGTAGATGACTTTTCATTTATCCTTAGCTGCTCTTAAAATTCTCTCTTTATCTTTGGTTTTGGCAAGTTTAATTATAAAATGCTTGGTGACTTTCTTTTGGGATCTACCTTGTGTGGGGTTCCATGAGCATCTTAGATAGATATCTTCTCATCTTTCATGATATCAGGGAACTTGTCTGCCAAGAAATCTTCAACAATTCTCTCTGTATTTTCTGTTATCTCCCTCCCTGTTCCGGTAGTCCAGTCACTCGTAGGTTATTACTTTTGATAGAGTCCCACATAATTCTTAGAGTTTCTTCATTTTTTAAATTCTTTATCCTCAAATAAGTTAGTGTCAAGTGCTTTATCTTCAGTCTCACTAATTTGACTTCCCTTGCCTCAATTCTGCTCCCATGACTTTCTATTGAGTTGTCTAATTCTGACATTTTATTGTTAATCTTCTGGATTTCTGTTTGCTCTCTCTCTATGGATTCTTGCAGCCTGTTAAATTTGTCATTGTGCTCTTCTCTAATCTTCTTAAGTTCCTCTATTGCTTTGTCTGTGTGTTCCTTTGCTTGTTCTGCATTTTGCATGATCTCCTGAAGAGTTCTGTATATTAACTTTTGAATTCTACCTCCAGTAATTCCAAGAAGTTCTCTTCCTCCAGAAGATTTCTTGATTCTTTGTTTTGGGAGCTTGCTAAAACCATCATGGTCTGCTTCTTTATGTAATTTGATATTGACTATTGTCTCTGGGCCATCAATAAGTTATTATATTTATTTGTTTTACGTTTGCTTACTGTGTCCTAGCTTCTTGTTTTGTTTTGATATGCCCAAATTGGCTGCTCGTGTGAGCTAGTTTGATTATCGACAGCCTTGAAGACCTAACGTTCTGTCACCAGGTGTTTAGATCTGTTACTAGGTATGTGAGCCCAGGAGTCCATTTACTTTTGTTGTATGGATTCAGCTCAGGTGTCCAGGTAGTCGGTCACCAAGTGTGTGAGGCAGGCTCTCACCTACAGTCCTAGACAAGCAGGGGTGATTGGTGTAGGCACAGGTAGCTGGCTGCAGTAGGGGGTCACGGCTGAGGAAGGGAGGGGGTGATGGTTGCCCCTGAGCGTCTGGGAGGAAAGCATGTCCCTGTTCCCTACAGTGCGTCGGTGGGTGGGTTTTGCAGCTGTACTATGGGCAGCCAATGCTGTTGGCTGTAAGGACTGGGAGGCATCACTTATTCTTGGACCCCTGTCTCAGGTGGCTAGGTTGCGTGGGTGGAGCCACCAGTCCTCAGGCCCCTGATGTGGGTAGGTAAGGACCCTGCTTAATGGACAGAGTGGTGTCAAATGTCACCACGTAGTTGATACAGTTGAAGTTAGGCTTCAGGTATATACCCTGTTATACTATGCTAATGAGGGCCTACTCTGGTGAAATGGGCCCACATAAGTCTATGCAGGGGTGAAAGGCACTCAAAGTCCATGCACCCTTTATGCCTGTGCCTAGGGAAAGGAGCTGTGCCTACCCTAAGTTCCCGGCTTAGGGGAGCTGGCAGATTATTTTTATCTGTTTGTTAATTTGTTCCCCCTCCAAAGCCGAGAGAATGGCTCAGGGCGCACAAGGGTCCTACTTCCGGCCCAGGGGAGGCGGCAGTCACTGAAGCTGGCCCGAGACCTAGTGCAGAGCAGGGAGGGAGCAGGTAAGTGGGGAAGAGGTTCTTCCCAAATGGGATGTGTTTTGATCTGTGAAGTAAGTTAGATGCATATACTTATCTTTTGCCGATTGAACACCGCTTTTCACTGGTTCTGGAGGATTGAGCAAACTCTCCTCTGCTCGGTCTCTCCCAAACACCACTGTTTGCCTCACCATGCACGCCAGCCAATCTAGCCTACGGGGTGCTATTCCTGACAGGTCAGGTCTGGCAACTCCTCACTGCTTCTGAACCATCTCTCCCTCCCCTGCCACTCTGTCTGATCCTCAACTTTGCCTTTGATGTTCAGGGCTCCTAGATTGTCATATATAATCGATTCACTTGTTTGTTCAGGTCTTTGTCATGAGAGGAACCACCGGAACCGTTTGATGACTCCGTCATCTTGGCCCTGCCTCCTCCTGTTTTCTTTCCTCTGGATTTTCTACCCCTTCTTGTCTTCTCATCTTAGCTTTTGGGCAAATGTTACCCTTTTTATTTCATATAATTGATTGTTTTAAGGAGCACATTCCTCTGAGGTGTTATTGTTTATTTTATGGGCCTGTCTTGTTTGGTTGAAAGGTGGCCTCTGATAATGATTTCAGTTCCAGATCGGAAGGGTGTCTTAGGCCTCATAGGTTCCTCAAGTCTCTGTCAGACCAGTAAGTCTGGTCTTTTTTATTCTACATTTTTCTCCTGTTCTTTCTGGAACCCTCTGTTGTGATCGCAGTCAGAGCAGTCAGTAGTGGTAGCCAGGCACCATCAAGTTCTTCTGGTCTTGGGGTCATGTAGGCTGTGGCTCATGTGGTCTCTTAGTCCTTTGGAATAATTGCTCCCTTGGATCTTTGTTTTTCTTCACTCTCCTTTGCTCCAGATGGGAAGAGACCAACAGTTGTATCGTAGATGGTTGCTTGCAAGCTTTTAAGACCCCAGATGCTACTCACCAAAGTAGGGTACAGAACATAGTCTGTCTTAGGCTGGGTTTTCTAAAGAAGCAAAACCAATAAAGTGTATAAATATATATATAGAAAGAGAGATTTATATCAAGGAAATGGCTCACGGGGTTGTAGAGGTTGTAACGTCCCAAGTCCATGGGTCAGGATGGAGGCTTCTCCGGATTCACATAGCCGCAGAGGCTGGCAAACCCAAGATCGGTAGGTTGGGGGTCAGGGCTCTTGCTCACAGGCTGTGAAGATCGACGAATCCCAAGATTGGCAGGCAAGACTGCAGGTAAGCTGCTAGCTCAAGTCCCAAGAACCGGAGGTCAGATGAACAGGAGCCAGCTGCGGAATCCAGAATGAGCAAAAGACCCTGAGCCCTGCCAGAACGTCCACCCACACTTGAAGCAGGCCACATGCCC